TCCATAGCATATGTGCTATCACCAAGAGTCTCACTGACTCCAATCAATCATGTATTATTTCTCTGCATCATCTTGCAATTGTTGGATTTTTAATGATTTTTGCTGTATTTCAAGAAATTTTTCTTTTCGTGTTAACTACAATTGTCTTCTAGCTCTGAAATTCTATCATTTTGGTTCAAATGATTATGAATACTTTCTATGGAGTTTTAACCTTCTGGTTATGTTTCAATCTGTTTTATGGACTCCATTTCTTTCATATATGGGCATTCATGGTTTCCATCATTTTGCTAAGCTTTATTTTTAAAAAATCTGTACCTACTCTAGCTCCATTGGGCATGTCTTTCATTTTAACTGCCATTTCTTTTTTTACCTGGAAGATTATTTTCTCTATTGCCTTACTTGTTTTTTCACCTCTGCAGTAATCAATTCAGAAAAAATCCAGTGAGTAGATTCCATTTTTCTCTATCTCACCGTCCCCTGGACTTAGCCTTGGTGGGCTGGCTGTCTAGGGTTACATTTTGCTTCTGAGTCTTTTGTCATTTTCTCATTTTTTGTTTTATTTTGTTTTCTGAGTTGTTGCTTGTAAGTTTCTTATGGTATTTAGTTTATCAAGCTTTATCACTTATATCAAGGTTTCCCAAGGAAATGTCTATTCCTCAGAGATGTCTTCTCAGTATAGGTGGTTCTTGGTTTTTGTGTCTATCCCAAGATTCGACCTTCCCAATATGTTAAGGATTCAAGTTTGCTATCTATTTAACTCAGCACCTATTCCTTTGGTACTGGACTATGGTAATGGTTGTGACTCCAGATAATCACAATGTTGTCATATAAGGGGAGAACTATTGGTTACAATAGGTATGACATCCTGGCTAAAGTAATACAGTTAGCACTAAAAATAACATCCAGTACAGCCTAGTAACTGTCAAACTGTGGTATCTGTTAGTTTGGTACCTTTAACCATATAAGCAAACTGTACCTTTTTATAACAAAATCCAACAGAAATCAGGCACTTGTTTGTAGTGAGTTTCCTCTTAGTAGAGTGATTATACCCCATAGTGGGGCAATTTAAGAACAACAGGAGACAATACAGAGAGATAAGTGAAAAGTAGTATAGTAGAAGCAAGACTGGACTGTACAAGATAAACACCCAGGCTTCAGGAGACTGGAGAAAAGAGCAGGAACAAAAGAGTGGAGGAGAAAAACAGAAAAATACTAAGGCAAGCCAGAAAGACAGGAGACATTGTTCACTCACATAAAAATAGAAATCAAGAGATTGGGGGGGTGGATAGAACAGAACAAAAATTAAAGTAGAAACCTAAACCACACATTCACACACATGCAAAACAAATAAAACCCCCCAAAAACAGATAATGGAAACCAAATCCAGCAGTCAAAAACAAGGAAAATAAAAAAATTCCATGGTCAGCTCCCACACGGTTCCCCACTGAGGCTGTTTCCATGCTATCTTAGCTGTTCTGGCACCCTCCAGTGGAGCCAGCCTGAGGCTGCTTCCAGGTCCCTGTACTTTGTGTTCCTTGCAGACCCTGCTGCTTCCTCAGTTTCACTCCACTGACAGCTTTAGTTCTGGGGTTGTATGGGGGCCGGAGGGGCTTTGTTCCAGCTGGCTAAGGTTGCTCGTCTGCCACCTTGTCAAGGTAGGTAGGGAGTGTTGGCTAAAGTGTTTGTCCCTCCTGCACTGCTGATCACAGAGCAGGGAGGTGCCTCTAGTCCTTAGTGGCTAGCACTATTCTGTATCTTCCCTTTCATTACCACTGTGCTTATCTTTACCACTGGAACATAGTTTTAAGAGTTACTTTAAGTCTTTGATAATTCCAATGTGCATATCACCATGAGTTTTCATTTGTCGAATTTCTTTGCCCCAAGACAATCCTCTGGCTCTTTATGTCTAACAGCTTTAGAGTATAATACAGACATTTGTCATCTAGACTCTAAGGTTCTTTGAAAATTCTCTGAAGAATATTAATTTTTTGTTTGTTTTAGCAATCAAACTGGTTAGATGAAGATCATAAGCTCTCTTATCTTCTGGCATTGGCTCCAATCTCAGTTGTTTTTCTCAGCTTTTGCTCTGCTGCTTTGGGTTTATCTCATGTATGCAACGCTTGAGGTGCCCATGACCCTGGGCTGGGATTGCACAAGAATTGAGGAGCCCCTCTTCAATCTTTTATCTTAATGGCACCTCTACCCCATCACTAGCTCTTAGGACCTCCTTTCCTGATTCCTCTGGCCATAAGATGAGGGTTTTTTCCTGAGTTTTAAGCACTTCTAATGTACAAACAGGGCCTGCCCTTGAGGAAAATCTGTAAGAGTTAAAAACAGACAACAAAACTCTCTACTAACAAACAGGGCTTCCTCACATTCTTTTTGGCCCATTTTCCAGGTCTTTAGGCCACACAAGTAGATTCTGTGCTGTAGTTTCAGTCTCCCGTGCTACCCTAACACACTGACATATTTGAGGCCTATCTTAGGTCAAAAACTGTAAAACCAACAAAATCTACATGTGTAATTTGTCTTTCAAAGTCTGCCTGATGTACTTATTTTTTAGAGTCCTCAGGTACTTGTTTTTGGTATTTTATTCAGAATTTTTGGTTGTAAACAGCAGACAAGCTAGGCCGTGGTGGGTCTGTTCCATCTCAGATGGACCTGGGAGCCTTTGGACTTCGTGGAAGGAGGGACTATATCTAGCTTTACTCCTGATTGACATACTGCCTGGCACATAGTGGCACTCTAAATATTTGTGGAGTAAGCACTGAATGGAGTTTAAAATGTCAGACACACAAAATAAAAAGTAATTTCTACATAATTAACAAGAAAGCCAGAGTAAGCCATCCTCGAATGGATTCACTTCCCCATGCTTTGCTGACAAGGCACTCAATAGGCTTGTGCACCATTGGTTCAAGTGGGCCAAGGTACAGCTCATGGCAGTAGCAGACCTTAAGTGTCATTCACATGATGCTGGTGAGGCAGTTAAGGAGCATGTGAGACTAAGAAAGTCACAGGCCTTACGAAGATTTCAAAGGACAGGCTGCGAGGTCAGGCATTGTATGACAGGGTTGGAGTCCTTGTAAACAGTCTTCAGCAGAGCATACACAGTGAACTTGTGAGGGTGAAGCTGAAGTTGCAGCGGAGACACTCAGACCATGAGACCCCTACTGAGGGAAGCTCAGAAAAGAAGCAGTAAGCCCAGAAGAGTGGTCATGAATGGACCTGGACAATGGACAAAGGGACTAAGATTTCATGTTTGTCCTACTGGTTTTGGTCTTGCTTTAGTTTTTTTTTTTTTGTCGGGGGTGGGGTACCTGGGATCAAACTAAGGACTTTGTGCTTACAAGGCAGGTGCGGTGCCACTAAGCTAAATCCCTAGCCCCAGTCTTGCTTTAGTCTAAACCTTCATTTCTCTACCCTTATTAGTCTTGCCTTTTGGAATATGAACGTGGACTCTGTGCTTGTCCCACTACCATATATTGGAAGCATGAAACTTTTTTATTTGTACTGGTGTTCAGAGCTGAGTTTGCCTTAAGTCTTGGGGGGAGACTTTGGACTTGGACTTTTTGGCAACTGTGGAAGAGCTAAGACTTTGGAGTTTCTCAGAGGTATACTAAGTGAATGCATTTTTCTTGGTGAGATAGACATAAGCTTTTGGGAACCAGGGTGGATACTATAGTTTGGATCTGGAATGCCCCCCAGAGGCCACATGTTAAATAAGGGCTTAGTCCCAGGAAGTAGCACTACTGGAAGAGGGTGGAATCTGTAAGAATGTGGCCCAGCAGTAGCTCGTGGGTCACTGGTCAAAGGAGACTAGGAGGCTAGTCAGTCCTCCAGGTGAGGGTTCCCCATTGTGTGCTTCCCAGTATGACACACTGCCCTGCCACAGGTCTACAAGCAGCACATTAAATGACCAGCAACTGACAAAACCGAGCTAGAATGAACCTTTCTGCTTTATGACAGGAAAGGAGAAAGGAAAAGAGAAGGAAGGGGAGACTGGGTTGGGGGAGAAAGAGAGGGAAGAAGGAAAGAGGGAGGGAAGGAGAGAGGGGAAGAGAAGAGAATGAGTACGCCAAACCAAGAACAGGTTTTTCAAATGAATTAAGAAAAAAGGAAACAAATTATAAAGTAAGATCCTTAAAAATTACTTATCTGCAAAAGCAGATAAATAAGCAACAGAGGAATTTAAAAATAAAGGTTTGCCTTTATAGTGAGAACAAAAACCTAAAGAGTAGAAAGTTTAAAGAACTAGCACACTGGTTAGAACATATTTTAAATATAATTTTAGATGGAAGGAGCTGAGGGGAAAAACCAAATATCTGAGTGAGGTAAGGATCAAAAGCAGGGTAGGTAGAGTACGTCAGGTCTTACCTCTCTCTCCACTGTCCAGGTATTTTATATCTTATCTTATTTTATATTTTGGCGGGTGCCAGAAATTGAACTCAGAACCTTTCTTTCACTTGCCAGGCAGGCACAGTGCCATTGAGCTACATCCCCAACCCCTCAGGTCCTTCTTTTTAAATACTATACCTGTCCCCTTTCTTCTTAACTTTAGGTATCGCATCATCTCTATGTTTTCTTAGAATTCTCTTTTTCTCTGGACATCTCTTTCATTTATTTGACCAATTTTCAAAATTAATATTACCTTGATATAAATTTTGTATTAGCTGGGTGTGGCGGTACATATCTGTAACCCTAGTACCCAGGAGTTTGAGGCAACCCTGCGCTACACAGTGAGTTCAAGGCCAGCCTGAACTACAATGCAAGAATATCTCACTAAAAAATTGTGATTTGGGCACCATGCCTGCCTCGGAAGCGCAAGGTCCTAAGTTTGATCCCTGGTACAAAAAAATTGTAATTTAAAGTGTAGCTAAATTACAGAGTTTATTCATTTTATCTTTTAATAACTGTTTTTTAAATAGTCAATATTTTCACAGAACATCTTGCTAACATATCTAAGCAACTGTTTAAAAATTTTGATGTAAACAAAAGCCTACCTGTATATTTTAGAAGTATTCATGGTGATCCAGGTAACCTGTCTTTGGTTACAGAGACTGCATATTGTTAGAACCTCCCATTAGATGTATGGCTAGCTGGTATAAAGGAAAGAATGAGGGCTCTGAAATCAGCTGTATGATCTTGGATAAATTACAATCTCTTGTCATCTGTTAATGGGTATAGAACTATCTACTTTTGTTAGTTCATGCTGACACCTAGGGAAAGCAGAATCAAATTAAAAAACAGACAACTAAATGTAAGTTTACTGGTTAAGCTATCTAGAAACCATGGAATGCTCTCTGTATACCACAAAAATAAGTCTTCATAATGGTTTATCTTCTAGGACCTTACATTTATTATCACGTCTTTTTTTTATTTGTTGCTATCTTTATTTCAGTAAGTTTCTCAAGGTCCTTTTTGAGATGAGGCAGTACAGAATACAATCACACATCTATATACATCTATATATATCTATTTGGTAAAAAGTAATATATATAGTGAAAAAATATATATCTATATATCTATATCTCTATATCTAGAGATATAGATATATAGAGATATATACATATATGGGAAAAAAGTGAAGTGTTGGTGAAAGTTCTAGCAAAAGCTTCGGTTTGCCAAATTTTTACAAGTATGTGCTGCCATCACTGCACTGCTGGGCTTTTCTTTTAAAGTAGTGGTAAATTTTGATTGATTTTTTTTTCACCTTGTTTTATTAGAATATGTTTGATTATACATACTAACAAAGGACACTATGTAGTGTTGTGAAAAGAACTGGACAATGTAAACTCTCCATTTTTAACATTTTCAACATAGTATAGAGCAAATTTCTTGTCACTTCTCTTTGCACCTCAATTCTAAACCTATAAAATGGTTATGGAGGGAGAATTTAGACAAACCAAGGATTTTTACCAGCTTTAAGTTTGTGATTTATACTCTCTGACAGATCAACTGAAAGACAGAGTGGCAGAATACCAATACATGCTGCGTGGGATCTTCACTTTTTAAATAAATACCACATATAAAGTATTTTCCTGGGTCTTCAGATATAACACCATGAGTTTATCTGAGTATTCATATGTGAAACTATGAAGTTATTCTTTCCGAACAATGTCGTACAACAGTGTCATTGGGTAAACCATAGGTCATTTGGCCAAAGTTTATGGCAAACTCTTTCTTGGTTTTCTAAATATAGATGATTCATTTTGTGCTTTAGCTAAATACTTTAAGATAGTTCCTTATCTCTCCCCTGTATATATTTAAGAAAACAAATTAAATTTTATAGTGGCATTAATACTTAGAAACTAAGAATGGAAATTTCCCTAGAGTCATAGTGCATACAGAGTTCAATACCAATTATAAGTGAGACTTCCCTGCTTTTGTTTTCTTCTATTTGGTTGGCACACCTTCACTGAAATCTCTTTGTAAATCATGCCCATTGGTTTAGTTATTCTAAATAAAGCTTTCTGGACACCACAACACAAAACTGGATGCCATTTTTAGTTTTTCAATTCTCATACTTCATTTTGTCCTTATTCTGTCTTTTTTCTAACTCTCTGGTTATCTTTTTTTGGTCCCCTTTACTAGGTTCTTCCCTCTATTTCTTAAATATTGGGGTTCCTAAGAATTATTCCCTGTTCTTTTCTCATTCTATACACATGTCTAGAAAATATTTCACTCCTATGGCTTTGATTATGAGTAATATGCTGATGAGTTTGCCTAGAGACATTCTTTTGAGATTCTAACTAGTATATCTATCTACTTATTGAATATATCTACTTGTCTTACAAGCATATTAACTTTCATCTCTTTGAACCTCAATTCCAAACCTATATAACAGTTTAGAGAGTGAGGGTTATAGACAATCCATGGACACACATACAAATGAAATCAACATCTTTTCCTGCTGAATCTATTCCTTTTTTTCCTTACTTAGAAAAAGAAACCACTATCTACCTAGTTGCTCAAATTACAAATCCTCTCCCCTCTTCTTTCCCTACCAATATTCACCAAATTACTAAATCATTATGTTGTCTACTTCTCTCCAGGCAAATTACCACTACTCTAGACCAGACCATAGCATCTTTTTTTCTTAAATATTATAATGGACTTCCAACTTTTTTCCCAACCTCTACTACTGTTTCTACTTAATGTAATTTCCGCAATGCAGAACAATTTCCTAAACTTCATGATCAAGACAACTCTCTGCTTAATAGTTTTCAATGGTTACCCATGGAAGAAAAATATCAAACTCCTTAAATTACCATATATGACCCTTGTATTTGTCTCCTCATTCTTTGAAGTCTAAACTTTAGCCATATTAAATTTTTCTTCAAATTTGCCACATCTCAAATCTCAAAACTGCATACACCCAGAGCCCACCCTTGCTCATGTTCCCACCCCAAACCCATAGCTGTATGTATTCTTGTTATACTTCCCCTTGTGTTGTCAAAGACCACATTCCTAAAGTATATGTACTCTCTACTATGGATTAGAGCTAAAATGTCCCCGAAAAGTCTCAAATGTTCAGAGGTGGGGCTTTTGGAAGGTGACTGGATCACAAGGGTGCTATATCAGTGGAGTAATGCATTGATGATTTCAGAGCTCAGTGGGCTTACTGGGAGGTGGAGCCTCACTGAATGAGACAGGTCACTGGGGTGTGGCTTTGAAGAGTATATGTTGTCCCTTGCCCCTTTTCCCCCTCTATTTCTGCCCCATGCTCATAGTGGCCACGAGATAAGTGACTGTGCTTCACCATGCCTTTCTGCCATGATGTTCTGCCTTGCCACAGGCCCAGCAATGGAACCAGCCAACAATGACTTAATGTGAAAGTCTGGATCCAGAATGTTCCCCGAAAGTCTCATATGATGAGAGGTTAGGTTTTTGGAAGATGAGTGGATTATTGGAGGTGTTATACTCTATTGATGAGTTCAGAGTTAAATTTACTGTCAGAAGATGGGGACTGGTCGGAAGAGGCAGGTCACTGGGAGTGTGACCTGAAAGGGTTTATCTCCCTCCTTGGCCCCTCTTCTTCTCTGCTTCCTTACCACCATGACAAGAGCTACGCTGCCATGCTGTTTCTGCCTTGAAGCCAGCCTACCACAGAATGAAACTATGAACCAAAATAAACCTGCTCCCCTTTAAGTTGTGGGTGTTGGGTATTGTGTTTCAGTGATAAGGAAAATGACTAAGACAGATTTTGGTATGGAGTTGTTGCTGTGACTGCATCTGACCATGTCATTTAGAAGCCTTTGGAACTGGCTACTGGGAAGATTTATGAAAGGTTTAGTAATGCTGGTTAGAGAAGTCCTAAGCTTGGGAGATTCTGGTCAAAGGTTGGAAGGTAAGAATGCTAGGAAAGACAAGGCTTAGTAGTTTTCAGTTGGGAACAAGGATTCTATTGGTAGTTGGTTGGAAGGCCATGTGTGTTATGCTCTGCAAAATATTTGTCTACATTTTGCTCACAACCTGAGACTTCAAGAGAGACAGATTAAGGGCAGCAGACTAATTAATTTGGTAGAGAAAATTTCAAAGTAATATAATGTTCAGGGTGTGGCATGGATACTGCTGTCTTTAGTCAAATGTACAAATGGCAAAACTAAATGATTTGAAAAATCTGAAAAGTTAATTTTTGCCAGAAAGAAAAAGCCTATGAAATTGGAGCAAAAAGATTATGGTCTGAAGAGATGAGTATTAAAAAAAGACAAGTACTTTGCATCAGGAAAATAGAAAAGATGGCTTGAGGGTATCTCAGAAATCAGCAAGACCCCATCTTACCCATAACAAAGGTTGTAAAAACTGAGAAACTGTCACCTAAGAAGGAACCCCTGAGCTCTCTGTTTGAGAAGGACTGCCTAGGGAATTGGTTTACTGGAATGTTTCACAGTGATCAGCCATCCAGGTACTCAGAGGTCTCTGCAGCAATGATTCAAGGGGGCCTCATCCCACATGGTGCTCATTTTACAGGCAGGCAGAATGTAAGAGTTATAGAGTCATAGAGGCTTTTACCCAGATTTCAGAAGGCCTGGGAGGCCAGCTAGTGTGCCCATGATGGGGCAAATTGTAAAGCTGTGAGAGTAATGCCAAAAGCACAGTGAAGACCCCAGGAAATTAGAGATGCTAGGAACATGGAACATGTGTTAAGGAATGCTGTGGACAGTGAAGTGGGGCCACTCCACAAAATAGGCCATGGGAGCTGTAACAGTCAATACCAAAGGGGTGGAGCCACCAAATCCCTTTGGAGGCCATATATTGCCATAACTGCACTGGGTGTTGGACATGGAACAGCAGGTCATAATCTTTGCCTTGCTGGGTGTTGGTCTCATTCCTTTCTGTCCTTTTATTTTTCTTGTTTGGAATGGAAATGCTTATTCTAAGCCATTGTATATAGCAAGTATTTTAAGTTTCTTGCTTTTACAGGGCCCACAGCTAAGAGTTTGCCTTGTTCCTCAGAAGAGACTTTTGACTCAATTTTTTAGTATGTTGGAATTGTTCAGACTTTGGCAAAACCTAGAGATGAATTAATTTAGTTTGCATAGACAAACTATGCCAGAGGCAGAATGTTAAGGTTTAGATCTACAATGTTCCCCAAAAGGCTCATGTATTCAGAGCTGGAACTTTTGGAAAGTGGATTATGGCAGCATTAGATGAATCCACTGATGGTTATAGTTGACTATGGCCTTAGAAGGTCAGGACTGGTCAAAGTGGTAGGTCACAGAGGGATATGACCTGGATAGGCTTCTCTCTGTTACTAGTTCTCTATTCTCTCTTTCTTCTGGACACCATGATATGAAAGGCATTTCATCTGCCATTCCATTTCTGTCTTTGAGTTGGCTGACCCTGGACTGAAATAGTGAGCCAACATAAACCTTTCCTTCTTTCAGTTGTGAGTATCTGGTATTATGTCTCAGTGACAAGGAAAGTGACTAAGACACTTACTAAATAAACCAAAGATTTGTTCTGCCTCACTTCTGAAACTATAAGCCAAAATAACTTTTTCCTCCTCCTTTAAATTGTTTGTCAAAAGACAAGCAAAACAAAATTTAAAAAATGGATGGACACATTCTCTT